TGACAGAACTTGCAGATGAGGTTTTAGGAAAAAACAGAAGCTAGGTCCCTTCAACTGTTCATCTCACACTGTCAACACTGTCAGTGTTGCACAGATCTAGAAAGGGTAAGGGAAAAGGTAAATGATTATAGTGGTTGACATTTGTCCCAGCAGTTGTCATGGCATGACATCCTCATAACTACTCAGGAGGCGAGCATTCTGAGTATCCCCCTTTTTCAGATTCTTTGTCCACTTCATGCTATTAACAAATGTTGGTGTTGGGCTTCAAGTACAGGTCTTCCTGCCATCAAATCTCTGCTTTTTAACTACAAGATTCTGCTGATTTCCATTTTTAAAATAATTTATGAAATTTCACCCTTGTTTTCTCTTGTATGTCTCTTACAATTTACTCCATCTTAGGTTGCAAAAAGTATAATTTTGCAGAGTAGGCAGCAATAACTTTGTTTCTGTTCTAGAACTGAAAGAGTACATTATTTACCCATGTGGAAAGTTCTTCTCCGTAATTCTGGATAAATAAACATATTCATCCATTTTAAATGGAAAAGCGACTCACAGAGCAGGATTGTAACGTGAAGACCAGTTTCCACCACTGCTTCCTCCCCGACTCCTCCTCCTCATTTGATTAGCTCTAACTCTTCAGCATCCTGTGCAGGGCTCTTTGAATCAGACCTCAAATTCTCGCCAGCCATCTTCCCCTCATTAACCTGTGACAACTTGGGACAGTTCTGTGTTCCCCAGATCTGTGCTGCTCCCTGTCTGCCTAGTAGAGCCTTTGTTCTTAAAGACCCGGCTCCGACGTCACCTTCTCCAGAGCTGCCCTCCAGTCTCTTCAAAGTTAGTCACTCCTCTTATAGACTCTAGAGCACTTGATACTCATGTATTTCATGGCCTCCTTGCCTTTCCTTTGGTTGGTATTCCTGAGGCAGCTGAGAACTATTTGCTGAGTGGATTAATAACTGTAATAGAAAGCATAATGAAATGTTCTGTGACTGAAGTGCGTGTAGCTTATTCCTGAAGAGCATAGGTAGGACTGTGTGTGCTGGGGTTTGGGTATAAACATGGGAAGAGGTAACTCAACAAGGAATTGATGAAGGGGTGTAATGTTGGTAGCTGGTGTTGAGTAAGGACTCTGAGGATTAGATTGAACATAGTGAAATGTGTACCCAAACTTAAGAAAAGATATGGTTTCCAGAAATTTAGGAGATGATGAAACACTGTGGCATAATACTCTTGAGAGAAGGGCCGTGCTGTGGGGTCAAAGATTTAGAAACGTGATTCTTACATCATGATGGCAAAGGGTCCCCATGTGGAAGAAAGTAGTGACTAAGGTGACTGCAGAGGGACAGGCAGACAAGATGAAGACTCGTGTGCAAAAGAGGCTCAGCCCCAGTGTCGGGGATGCTGAGTCTA